TAAATTGAAGCTACAATTACTGATATATTATCCAATAATAGGAATATGAGCGTGAACGTGATGCGTGTCCGATGTATTTCGACGATGGTTCCAATCCTTGGATACAAACAGAGAATTACATCAACATTTTCACCTTTAACGGCGGCAACGTAAAAAGTTGTTCTTCGTTCTTGTTCATCGTTTCATTAGTAGTTATATTTCTTATTCCAAGAATTTATAAATAATTCTTCATACGAGGATCATACCATTATTAGCTCTCGTAAAGTTAATTCATAACAATAATGGCGCGATAAATATCGGATAAGAAATATCGCGTTTAGTATAAGTTTTAATGAATTCTTATAATAGTATGCTTTAACGTCAGCAATCTATACGTATTCCGTCCATTGTGTAATTATATATGTATGTCGTTACATATGTGCCTTAACACAATTCTATAAACATAATCGTGTCTAATCTAAGTAGACAATGTACAATGTAGGTTTTTTATTTTGATATAGTACAACGTTTCTATTTTGATGTATCCGTCCAGAGATCCGTCCAAAGAATTTCAGAATTTATACAAAGAATCACAAGGAGTTATAAAGAATCTCTTACAAGATGCATTCTAGTTTATGCACTGAACGAATTATTTATTTTATTGTATGTATATGAATGAGGTTAATGATTATATTATATAATCTCATGTCGGATATTTTAACTAAAATTTTGAAACATATTTTAATTAACATTTGACCAATGTTTAACATATTGTATTATTCTATAATTTTATAAGTTTTAGAATTAAAATTTTTTGAAGCAAATTTATGTTTATTATCATAAAACGAACAATATTCCATCCTCATTGTGTGTGAAACAAAATACATTTAACAATTTTACTAAATGTATTATGAAGGATATTTTATACAATTTTAAAAAATACAAAGTACAATGTTTTGTAATATTATAATGATAATTTTTATATAAATTATATACAAAGAATGATATAATTTATTTAATTCCTAAGTATAAATACATAAAAGTTATCTGTCTTGCTGACACAAAGCCAAAATTTCTTTAAAACTTAAAAATTTAATAATAGAATAGTTTATGTACAACCATTTTAATTTTTTTCTTAAACAGAAAAGAATATAAAAAAAGTTACTTAGCTTAATTAATGCAAATACTTAAAGATTAAAATAATCATATAAAACACAAATATTTATATTTTTAACATAAATTGAGACTAATTTTTTACTTTATATATACATGTATGTATAAATGAATTGTTGAGAAACATAAGAGAGTTTATTTTGTCCAGCTCACTTTAGGTATGTCAAAGTGTTCGGTTAAGCTGTCCAGGTGTCGATTAAATTCCTCCACTCGTTGTTTATGTGTCTTGGAAGCTTTTTGCTTGATTCTCTCGGTTTGCTGTAAAGTAATATTGAATGTTAATATTAAAATTTCTTAAAATTTAATTATTTATTAATATAGTAAATGTGTAGTAAATATTGTGTATGACTTACCATTTTTTCTTGCATTTTCTGAAAAGCCAGCTCTGCTTTCGTCCGTTTTACTTCCACTGTTTCAGGTTTCTCTTCCTCAATTATCTTCGATACTTCCACTAGCTTCTCTTTCTTTCCATCTTTGTTCTTTTTCTACAAAAAGACACAATTTTGACAATTAGTTATTTTAATCGATTACTTAAACAAAAAAGGAAACATTATTTATAAATAAAATATCATGTGAAAAACGTAATTAAGTGTAGACAAACTAAGTTTACGACAAACTTAACCTAAATTGAAAGATGAAAATAAGAGTACTTACTTTTTGCTCACCGTCTGGTCGCTCTTCAATTTCAAGGTTCCTTTTGCGACATGTGCATATGGATCTTCATTATGGTCTTCAGTATTTGTTGCAGGCATCGTGAATTGATAAAGAATTATCAAAATTAATCGATTACTCACAGATCTTCACCGATCTTTACACAACATCAACTCTGACGTTAGTCTTCAGTGATGCCAACTGTAATAGTTTTAAAACGAATTTTTCCAACAGAAAATACGTAACCTGCACGAGGCATCATTGCAAGTAATATTTATTTCAGAATATTGTTAGATAATTCCTTTTAGATTTTTATTTTTGCATTTATATTTAGCATCCTGTTTTAGAGTATAGTTAGGATTCTGATTTTTTTATTTTAGTATCATCTCATGAAGATTTATGTAGTATAATATTTTTAAATAAATATTTGAGTAAATATTTACACTAACATTCATAATGAGTACATAAATATTATAAATATTGCATTTTCCGAAAATAATTAAAATAATTTTCTTATTTTAGTCCATTTAAAAAAATGTGGTACTTAGCTGTGAGATCTATAGCAAGCAGGTTTGGTATATATATTACGTTTCCTTTTGTGGGCATTATTGGATTTATCGGATACAATTTGGAAGGATGGATATCTGATCGTTATACACCAGCAACAGCACCCATAACGCAACAACGACAAGAGAGATTACTAGAAAATTTGGATTCCTCAGCTACCAAAAAGAAGCATAATCCTTTAGAAGTTAATTTGTCGCCATCGTTATCCAATTAAGTATGTATTTGATTATATATTATTAATTATTTGTAATATGAAACTTTATTAGCAACTTTAGTAGCAATTACAATATTTGTGAGAAAAGCATGAATAAATTTTTATTTTACATTATAAGAAATATATCAAGTTTGTTAGTACATAGATATTTAATTTTTGTTAGCACAATTCTTAAAGACAAAGTAAAGAATAACAATATAAGATATACTCCATATTTAATATTTATCTGACTTTCCAGTTTGCGGTAATAGTTGGATATGCATCAAATTTCCACTCCAAATTTGTATATAACAATGTGATTGTATATATCGCCTGGTCGTAGTACACTGTTGGGGAAGTTTTTCTGTAAAAAAAAGTCATACAAAATTAATGTAAAATCCTTAAACAGTAAACGATCTTAGTAAATCAGAACTCTCTCTCTCTTTCTCTCTATGATATTAATAAATTTCATATTTAGTTTTTCATATTCAGTCTTAATCTGTGCTTTCATTGCTTTCATATGTTACATCATCTATGTGTTTCCATTTTTAGTTTATTACATCATGATAAGATTGCAATAATGTGCTGAGATTTAGTGTAAATGTTTGCGGCAGGTTATCAACTCTTGCAATTTAAAAAAATATTTCTTCAGAGAAACTTACATGATTTATAGCATCGGGATAATTTTGAGTTTCTAAGCAGAAAGCAGCGTGTTTCAAGTATTCTGTTCCATTTTTCCCAATGACATCTGAGAGAGAATTAGCTGTGTAGAACTGAACACCTGGTTGATTTGAGTGCACTTCTAAACAGCGTCCCGAGGCCGGATGTAGCACTTTGGCGACAAAATTAACTTTTCTATGGTCATACGGCTCTGGCAAGCAGAAATTGTAATCGTAACCGCCGCCTGGCACTTTGTCGATGACATCACCGAGCGTGGTCGGTTTCCTAAGGTCCATTACGCTGTTCGCGACCGATCGTATCTCGCCAGTAGGAATACTCTCATTGTCCGTGACGGTCCAGCGATCCGCGTTTAGCGTAACCACGTGTTTATACAGTTCCGCCGCATTTGTAGCCTGAAAAAATATTTACAGAGATCTGTGATGACCTTTCATGATCAATTAATCCTAGTTTTATTTTTTTAACACTATTGTTCTGTTGTGAAAATTTATGTAATATTTTTAAATTGATATTTGGCTAATATTCATATGTTGACATTCATAATGCATTCTTATAATGACTTTCTCAATAATGAAATTTTAAACTTGATAAATACATTATGCTTTTTTTTGGTAGCCATTGGATTTTCTATCTTAATCAATATTAGTCAATCCAAAATGTAGTAAAAAGTAGAGAAGTCTACACACCTGTCCAGCGAGGTTGAAGTAGCTGTGATTTGTCAAGTTAATCGGCGTCGCCTTTGTAGATCTAGCTTGCATCTCTATACGCAATTCTCCGTCATCGCTCAATTGAAAGGTTGCTGTTGTCGTTACCGTTCCCGGGTAGCCTTCGTCGCCATCCTCGCTGACCAAGGTCATTACGACGCGGTCACCCTCGACTGTGGCATTCCATACCTTTGAATTCCAACCGTGAACACCACCGTGAAGGCTGTTTTCGCCTATATTCTTCGATACATTGTAACGTTGACCGTCCACGATGAAACTCGCCTTGCCGATACGATTCGCAACTCGTCCAATAGTGGCACCAAAGTATGGATTGCTCGACGACTGATATCCTAGGATTGTTATACTACTGTCATGATCGATCGAAATAATCTATCTTGTTTTTCAAAATAACTTCGGTTTGTCTATTTATAAGCTTTTGTGCATAAAGTTATTTTCTGTGCGTGCAAGATGTATTCACTGCTATAAAATTATAACAACGTGTTTCACGTTTTAAAACTTTATTAGTATTTTAAAATTTGTTTTTTTATATATTTTATTACAATAATAATAAAATTAATCTGTAATTAATCGAACATCTTATCAAATATTTATTTCTTAAATAAGCCGTCTTTAACGAATACATACCTTCAACATTATCAAAACCAAGCACGACGTCAACTGTGTTACCCTTTTTATCCGGCGTCCTGACGGCGGTCACAGTCGCACCATATGTCACAACATCGATCTCTTGACCAGCTTTGTTCTTTAGTGTGAATTTTTTTACTTCCTGACCGTTCACTGATCCCCACGTTGTTGTTGTAATCGATTCTCTCGCAGCCATCTCGCAGCTCTCTCTGAAAAAAGAAAAAATTAATTTGTTAGTATATATTCCAAAATTGTTCGTGAATATATCTGAAAAATTTTATCTTTCAAAATGAAAAAAAGTCTCTACACACATTTATCAACAGTGTTTTTGATTTGCAGGTGTAAAATATGAAATATAAATTTCTATCCAGAACAACTACGCGGAGCTGAATCAAATAGCAAATGCAGGCTACGTGTGCTAAGAATGATTTAAATAGTTCAATCATCCACCGCGAAGTTAAAATTCGTATAACACGTGTTACTGTATAAACTTGCATATCGTCTGATCACATTCTTATCTTAATAATGTAAACAATTGTGCACGTAAACACATTATATAATATTATATAACATTTTCAAAAATATATTTTAAAAAATTATTTTCAAGATCATTTTAGTATAGATTGCAGATTTAGCACTTTTTCTTATCAATTTTCGAAAAAATTCAATAATTATTTTAACTAAAACCTTCTTATATTTATTGTTCTAATTTTCACAACTTATTGTATCTCTATTGTAACAAGAAAAAAAATGAAACAGAAATGCGTTTCTTACCCAAGCCAGGATGGAATGGCCAGAAATATAAAGACACCGTGCAGAAACATTGTTAATTAAAATTTTAGAAATTTTATAATCGATATAAAATAGTTGTATAAAATGTTTCACTATTATTTGTGGATTATCACGGAGAACGTGAACTTTTAGAACAGAGGCGATGCGCGTTCTGTGGTACGATACACTCTGCGAGATGTATTTATTATTCTTACCCACACTGTCTCTATGAAAAAAATCCCATTATTGTATTCATAAATGTGTGAACTAAATGCGCACACTTATTGTGATTGACCAAGCATGATAATTTTACATCAGTCAGTGTCAAGAATATATAGCTTGTACATACATTCTCGACACTTGAAGGTTATATAGCAAAAGATATTTAACTATTATTCAAGCAGGAAAATATTCAATTATTGTTCAAACTATGATGTATGAACTTAAAGGAAAAATTGTTTGTGAAAAAATAAGAAAATTAAAGTATAAAAAGATATAATCATATAATTTTTTAATCTTTTATTTCTAATACTGGACTTTTATTTTATAAAAATACACATTTTTTTGTTAATACCATTTCAGCCGCAAAACTTTAGGATTTATTTTTGCAGATATTATTTTTTATATTAATAAGCATTAACATATAAAAAATATTATTTTTTAATATTGACAATGTCTCAAAATTTCTCAAATTATAAATAATCTTATATTAAACATTTTAATTTAATATTGAAATAATTGTCAATTCTGATTGGTTTCTGAGGTCTTTGTTTCGATTGCATCCATCAAAGCTTCTGTGATATGCATATTTTCTTGTATGCTCTTTAATCTCAAATTAATATTCTGCATAGATTTCTGAACTTCTTGTAGATTCTGCAACAAATTCAAGCAGAAGATATTTCAGCAAAATGCATATCACATAAAATGTTTTGAAATATTACTTTAAAATTGCATATAACCTAACCTAACCATTTTTATACTTGTGTAAAGCATCATTTCTTGTTCTTCTGTAAACGGCTCATCGATAGAAGAGTCTATGGATGTTGACAAACTGGTCATAATGTAAAAAATATAAAATACTAACGAAATTGTATTAATTGATTCTTCAAAGCACTGACGTATCGCTTTTGCGTATTTCACAGTATTTCATGCAGCGGTCCAGTATAGCAGATGATTTACAGCCGCCATGCAGCGCTGCAGCAGCGCTTACTTTTACTGAACGCACCCCAACTCGTATACAAGCGAAGCAACGTTTATAAACTGTGAGAAACCTAGATCGAATTTGCTTATGAAAAATGGCTGATCATTGAATTTTGCGTGTATACACAGCAAGCGAATGTTCTGATTCTGAATAATTAAAAATATAGTCGATAGAAACCATAAGAGTGTGCAAATACGCGGGAAAATGCCGCGTACCAAAGGTTCACCTCAAAAGTGTGTTAAAACGTCAAGTAGTAATCAGCCGAATACGTGGGTGTTTCTTATGAAAGGTGAGTGCAAAAATTAGTGAGTGCAAAAATTAGTGAATACAAACGATTCGTTACAGTTTGGTGCGTTAATTATTTTTACCATTTTTTAATTAATTTTTTTCAATCATTGTACATACACAGCAATGTGCTTATCAATCAATTTCCAAGCTTTGCATTTATAAAACTATCTGTTTCTCAGATGGTGCAAATAGCATAAATGAAAATCAAGCAGATGTTGTGAAACTTAGACATCCAGCTTCTAATAAGCCAGCTGCATTTTCATTCAGTCCTGGAAATATCACAGTGCAAGAAGTTTTAATCTTTGACGAAAACAAAAGATCTTGGTTTATCGATGATAGTGTAAAATCTGATGGCAAATTGCACTTGTCAACGCCAATTGATCCAATCTTTTTAGTTCTACCATACTTAAGAAAGGTAAATGTAAAATTTTATTTTGATACTTTTATGGTTATATATAAGATCTAGTTCAAGTCATTAAGAAATGAATTTTATTACAGTCACAATTAGCACAGCCTTTGGAACAATGTCTTTGGGATGAAGATTTTCCAGAAACATCTCGCTTAGCACAATGTAAAAATTTGGAACTATCTTTAGTTGCCGATCGCAAGGGAGAAGAATCATTACAAGCTTTTAAGTTTAATGAAGAGAAATCTTTGAAATGGTTGCAAAAAAAGGTAGAAAGGGTAGCAGATGTATTAAAACAGAAAGGAGTTCATGTATCTCAAGGTGCTGTGAGTGCCACTTATGTTAAGAGTACTAAATTTGAAATTGATACAGAAGCAGGTAAATAAAACAATCGTATAAATTGCGATCACAACGCTATACCATAAATCATAATAAAATGTAGTATGTAAAATAATATTTAACGAATTTTTAATGTTCAATGATGTAACAAGATTTCTTTCAAACGATTTTTGTAGGCTATCATCTGCAAGCAAGGTGAATTTATTGACAAAGTTCTTACCAAAAATTTTCTTCTAGAATATTTGAAATATGCACACGGTATTGTATCAGAATACCTTGCTGAAGATCTTTCAAAGAAGTTGGCACAACACTTGAATATTCCCGATGAAGCAGAGAATAAAAAACGCAAGTTAAATAGTCCTAAAGATGGATCTGATGAGAAGAAGGTTAAAAAAGATAGCTTTGAAGAGAATCCAACACCAAAACCAAAGACGAAAAATTTAAAACCTGAAAAGGTTAGTTATTTTAGTAAATAGCTATAAAATGTCAAGTTATAAAATTGTAGAATTTTTTGAAACGTCACATTTTTGAAATATTGTTATTCAAATGCCTACTTATTTTTTTTTACAGGTTCAGAAGATTGCTCCTCCTGGTAAAAAGGAATTAGCCCGGCAAAAAGCAGCAACAGGATCTAAAAGCATCACCAACTTTTTTAAAAAAAAATAAATCTCAAAAAAATATATATGATGCGATTTTAAAGATTAGTGCATTTGTAACGTGTCCTGTAATGTGTCCGTTTTTATAAATTATAACGTTACATGTAAATCTATTTAATATAACGTCTACGTAGAAAATTGTAATTTTATTGATGATTATATGGAAAAACTATAAGGAAAACAATATAGTTTTCCAAAAGTTCAACGAGTTTCGTATCATCAACAATTAAATGCAATGTAATTCAATATTCACTATACTAAATATAGTTAAATAAAAAATATAAAACAAATCCTGATATTTTTATTTCTTATTTCTTACATTTTATATCTAAAAATATAAAAATTAGTCATCAACATTACAATTAATAGTAGCATAGAGTAATTAAAACAATATTTTTTATTTTATTTTTAATTAATTTCTTATATATATGCATTATATTCATGCTCATGTTTAACAAAAATAATGAAATAAAGATTTTTCAGTTTTACTATAATTTTCTTTAGGATGTATTCACAAACTTGCATAGGGTGTGAAAAAATCGATTAATTATATATTGAACATGAATTTAAAGTGATTGGTCTAGTTTTTATTTATATACAATTGTGGATATAGCCTTAGATTAATATAGGGAATAACTAAAATGTAAGAAGGGTTTTCTTACTTCTTAGACCGGCAGCACTGTTTTAGAATTTCATCCGTAACGTAATGAGAGCTGTCAAATTTCAGATAGATGATTAGATATGCCAGACATGGAAGCTGATGATCGAGGAAACAGCGATGATTATTATTTGGAATTGTCTCCTGATCCTATCAGGTTCGAATCAGTCAGCTGCCTCACGAATGTGTTTTTTGATGACTCAAAACAGCAAGTTAGTCGATTTTTTCAGTCGGCGAATATTTTTTCTCCACTTGACGTGAACTGTAATAAACAATTTGTGTATAGGTGTTTGCTGTTCGGTCAGGAGGTGTTACAGGAGTGCTCGTTAAGGGCCCGGACCAGAACTTAAATTTTCGGATGGAAGACAAGGGCCCGGTAATATCCATTAAGTTTTCTCCTGACATGACTGTACTTGCAATTCAACGCACCAACACATCAGTTGAATTTGTTAATTACTCTCCTGTTACCGGATTGGATCATATCGAGTATTCTCAGCCGTGCAAAGGGAAAAACGCCACAATATATGGTTTTGTTTGGACACATGGCACTGAGATACTTGTAGTCACAGATCATGGAGTAGAATTGTTTCATGTAAGAAATCTTTATGTTATTTTTTGTACTATTATGATAGTATTTTTATGATATATTTTGTACTATACTGTATATCCATGAACAATTTACGTCAATCAATTTTGTACTCGATGCTTTTTCAGGTTAATCCAGAGAAACGTAATGTTAGGGCATTGAAGTGCTTGAGTTTAGGTGTAAATTGGTTTGTATTTTGCCCCAAGAGTTATCTAGTATTACTATCATCTGGGACAGTTGGCAATCAAATACAAGCATTGCATGTCACACCTGGCAATCTGCACAAATTAACAAAGTTTGAAAGTTAGTAAAAAGCAGTATATATTTAGATAGCAAACTCAACAAAAATTATTTTTGCACTTATGATGTTATTGTTTTAGTTGAACATAGTGTAACAAAAGCAGGAAAACTAGCTGTCTCTGAAAGAGATGTAGCATTGGCAGTATTATATGGGACACCTTGTATAATTCTGTTACGGCATCAACCAGGAGCCAATCGATCAATGGGGACGGCGTTTGTATATGTTTATACTGTACAAAAGTGAGAGTCGCATTTTATTGTTCTGAGTGTAATTAATGCTATGCAATGTTACAACTATATTTTCTTGCAGAATGATGACCATTAAGAAAAGTCATATGTTGAAACTTGATGTGAGTGGTAGATTTGCTATAAATGTTGTTGATAATCTTATCATTGTTCATCACCAAGCATCAAAGGTATGTATGCTGTTAACTGTAGTTTAATTTAAAATAACAAAATTTAACTGGATACTTTTATATATAGACGTCAATGATATTTGACATCATGCTGTCTGGTGTGAGTGATGGAACAGTAATGCATCACACTAGCGTAGCTACAGCAAAACCCATTAAGCCATTCAATTTGAAAGTACCAGGTACAACATTGTCTGATCAGATGTATCAGCCATGCCAGTTATGTATCCTTTAATTTGAACTGAAAATTAATGCTTATTTATTCAAGTATAATATTTATGAGCATTATTGATTTAAGTAAAATGCCTTAACATTACATAGATTCCCCTAATTGGGTCGTTTTCCAACCAAATATTATAATTGATGTAAAGCTGGGTTGTTTATGGTATATTTATTTAACTACTATCTTTCATATTTTAAATCATTCTTATATCTACACACTCTTTTCTTTATTTCTTAACAACATAGGTACATTGAGCTCAGACTGGAAGCTTTAGTGAAATTAATTACGGATAAAGTACTCCTAATAGAATTTTTAATGCAGCGGTCCAATGCCAAGCAGATATTAATCCAAGTCTTGCAGAGCTTCATGACGCAATTACCTGTGAGCTTAATGGAAATGCCGACCATATTTGATAAGCTTAATTCCGTGTACAGAAATTACTTAGAAAGCGAAATACAAAATCAGGTAAGATTAGATTATATTTTTCTTCATACATAATGATTAGCAACATTACATATATTTATTTGTCAATTGTAGATGGGAACGCCTTTGCAGAATAACGTAAAAAACGTAACGACAGTGGCCGAAAATTTTAAATATAAATTGCTGCTCGATCAGAGCGACATGTACAGTCATATATTATCCAAGTTTCCTGAAAACACAATAGAACCAAAAATGATAATATGGGTTCTGCTCGAGTATATCAGGTACACAAGAATTTTAACAGACGATTAGCTTACAATGGATTTATGGAATCAGTTTATTTTATTCAAGTAACTATGGAACTTTGCAGATCATTAGCTGAGCACGGAATACCAGTGCAACATTACTTGCACGAATTGGTCATCACGACGCTGGTGCATCGAAAGGCGTATTATCAACTCCATCAATTGTTGCAGTATCACGTAGTCGCCGATTCGAAGCCTTTAGCCTGCTTGCTGCTTTCTCTGGAAAACTTGTATCCGGCGGCGCATCAGCTGGCGTTGGATATGCTGAAGCGACTGGGAAACGCGCACGAGGAGATAATTGAAGTGCTTCTATCGAAGGGACATATCTTGGCTGCTCTGCGGTAATTTCAAAGACCATTTTTATTTGGATAACAATATTTGGACGTGTGCTCATACGTTATCGCCTTTCAGATATGTTCGATCGGTTGGCATGGTGGATCAGGTGTCTGCGAGAAAATTCTTAGAGGCGGCGAAAGCCGCCGACGACGCGACACTCTTTCATTCGGTCTTTAAGTTTTTCGAGCAGCGCAACCTGAGGCTGCACAATACCACGGCCTTCACGAGGGGCGAACATTGTCAGCCGTATGTGCAGCATTTTAAATTTCTGTTTCAAGGAATAGACAATGAGTGCAATTCAGACACAAACTCAAATATTACCACTATTTCCTCCTAAGATTGTAATACTGGTGTTCGTGTAGTGCGCGTGAGTGCGACAGGTAATGATTTGCTGTTTATTTTTATTTACTAAAAGGTTAAGATGGAGAATTTACGCTGTAGTTGCTTCGGCAATTTGTAAATTCCTATTGTATAAACTTATTGTTATTGATTATTTATTAAGGAAGAAAAGGAAATTAAGAATATTTATATGTGCGCTTATTATCCACTTACAAGAGCATTGTTTCCTTCCTGTACTTCCGCTCTTAAATCCACCTTGTAGGGTTCTGTGCGTTGTGGGAATCGTTTCATTCAAAGTTTACAAATTAGATTTCTTTTTTTAAATAATTTTTTTAATTGCGAGACTTATATATAGTGTAATACATTCAAAATGAGTTTCTTACTTACGAAGTATTCAATAACCAGTGTTCGTTTTCCTCTTTTGTTATATTTTGAGACAATATTATACAATATAGGTTTCTCTTTACTTTAATAAAAAACGAATAATCGTCTTTTGCGCTGCGAGATAATATGATAAACGAGTTGGTCGCCAGTCCGATCAAAGTACAATATATAGTAGAGCTCTCATGATAGAAGGATGTTAGATATATCAGAGGTACAATAAATGTAATCTTGTTACAGCAAATTAATAATTGTGGTAACAGGCGCCGCATTTTTTATTAGCAATAAGTCTAGAGCGATAACAAGGAGCGATAACAATGAAAAGTGAAAGATCGCCGCTTAGATCAAATCACAAGTGCAAGTGTTCTCGTCATTACAATTAAGCAGCCGCAAGTGCATATGAATAACATCGAGTACACAGCTCTAATTCCATGATTACAAAAAAATGCTCAAATCCTTAAAGTAGCGTGCAAAGAATTACGAATACGGTGCTCACACACACGAAGAAACAGCGAGATACTTGCAAGTTGGTCAAACACGTTGCTTTATCAACGTTTCTTATGTTACACCTATCAATCGCGATAAGTCAGCGACCCCGGAATCGTCTGTAATGATTTAAAATTGGTGTTTAAGCTCGATGGTTGATTGATTGGAAAAGTAAATCACGGTGAAATTACGTTGTTTGGTCCTCTTTAAATTTATTTTATCATAACGTATTCAGTTCTGACATAAAACGGACACTTGAAGTCCTATTGTTCAATTATAGTTTTTTCCCATCTATCTTTTTACATCAACTTTGCACTCTGCGGAGTTGCCGCGAAGTTAAAAAACTTATCTTTTATGAAAATGTATATTGCAAACTTATTTTCTAAGATAATCTTTATTGACAAAGTTTCAAGGAAGATTCTACTTTAAATGCCAATGTTAATTGTATGCAAATTCAACTCTCTTAATGAATTTAATTACAATTTATAAAAGATCAATATCCATTGCCGATTCCGGTTTGTCTGATATTGTTATTACGTGATTTTTTATAAGGTCAGCGGAAAGAAGTTTGCAACCATTCAATCTAACTAAAAGAAATTGAAACATTGATGAAAATCTCATTTATAATTATAAATTTGTTTGCTTAAATATTCTGTGCTCATTATTTTTATGAATAATAATGAGAAATGTGTTAATTTCATTTATATTTCTCATTATTTTGTCTGTTTTTCTTTTTTCTGTATAATTTTAGCACATACGTAACTTATTTAATTTTAATTGCAGAAAATATGGAAAAATATATCCGTGAATTACAGTGCTAATAATATGCAGAATGCAGAAATTAATTGTGCAGGGATTAAATTAATTGCATCAGTATAATCTTTTTTCCGTGTATTAAATATAATTAAAATAATATTCGCATAGGAAACTTAATAATCAATGTGCGACAAATTAAATTATTCATCTCTCGAAATTATTCTGTGAAAAAGAGATATTTGAATTGCAAGATAAAATTATTTAGTAGAAAATAATTTTGTATAAAAAATTTATCGAGCTTAAAAAATTTTATTACATTTCAAGGAAAAATGTGACCAAGCAATGTTTTAAATTGCATCTTTATCCCGCGTAAATACGTTAGAGCCATTCATTGGTCAAAAAAGTAAATTCAAAATTCTCGAGTTCTGATTGGAGTAAACCGATTGTATCTAGTTTCGCTTTGCTGCTTTCTTCTATATCGGGTATCGCAACGTCTACGTCGCGTAAGGTGTAAGAATTAATTTATAATTACGTATTATAACAATAATCTGGGTAATATTACTTTGTAAAGAGTGAAAAGTTTCACTCGCGATCAAATAATGCACGAACACACATATAAATATATAAATTAAAGCATATATAAAATCACTTGCAAGATAATCGGTCGGAAGGTTGGAATCTATTTCTTCGAAAAGCTACGCGTAAATGTTTTTCATCGGTCCGTTCGATATAGTTAGTGGACAATTTTCGGTGTCGTCGTGGTTCCGTAAGCTCGCCGACAGCGATAAAAGGTAAACGAAGTTAATTCTACGAAATATTAGATTTTGTTGACAACGAGAGGGGGATAGAGAGAAAAAGAGAGGGGGGGGGAGAGAGAGAGAGAGAGAGAGAGAGAGAGAGAGAGAGAAAGAAAGAAAGAAAGAAAAAAAGAAAGAAAGAGAGAGAGAAAGAGAGATATAGACACAGGCACATATAGTTTGAATTCGGATTTCATTTGTTTCTTTCTTAACGTCTTTGTTACCGTCCAGCTTATATTATTCATAGATAATAAATGCATGCGATATTACAATTTTTTCAAATCTTAATCGAATTATCACATTTACAGCGCTACTATTTTTTCAAACAATGGATAATTAAGATTATACATTGATAAAAATATCTTCGACCATCTCGATTTATTACGATCACTGTACAAAAAGAATATTAATTTTAAAACATTAATCCGAATCGATTATGTATTTTATTTTTATATTTTTGTTATATATTGCTATCTCTAGTCATTTAACCCTAATTTACATATAACGTATAACATTTATAAATGCATATTTACGTAAAACATTTGTAAATGCGTAATTTTGTTACGATTATGTCAACGTGATACACTCGAAATTGTAGCTACGAATTTTGTCTGATATAGATCGAATATAAATGAACTGATAAGCACGTTACAACACACCGGCCGGTAAGCAAGGCGTTAAGATATACGAGCGTCTTAAGTATATATATATATATATATGTATATATATATATATATATATATATATATATACACACATATACTTATAGACAGATATTAGATAAAGATTCTCGAAAGTCGAGTTTCTGTTTTTGATTTATAGCTTAGCCTCTTCTCATTTTACACGCTATATATACAAGCTGCTAAAAAATGTACACGTACTTTGGATATTTATAACATATTTTAATATAAATTAAAATAATTTTAAATATTTAAAATGCTTCTTAGCAAGAGCTCTGAAAAAATTGTTTACATATTAAAGTTAGTGTAATTTTCATGAATTTAATTTTCACATTTTGCTATCTTTCTATTGTCATGAATAAACATAAAGTGTATGTATGTATGCGTATGTTTACTGCATCAAAATTTAATTTCATCAAATTTGATAAAATTTGCTGTCAATCTGCTAATATTGTCAACATTTGGCTATCTAGGTAAGCTTATCTAAATTATACGTAGCCTGATATTCTCATATTATATGTAGCATTATTGTTTAAAATTTTAAATTAATTTATTTCTGTTGCCATTATACTGCTAAAAGCTTCCATATTAATGTAATGCAATAATGTAATATGAAAGAAATATGATATTGTTCTTGGCTACGGAATATTGAATAAATATCCGAACTATGCGTACACTTTCCAAGAGATATTCCGTACAGAAGTAATAGGATTTCTGACACAGTATATATAGACACACGGTGGGGCGCGCCGGTTACCAATAACGTGTACAGCATCATTTGGGGATACATGCCTAACTACATCGAGAATTTCAATATTAATTATTTACAGGGACATCATTACCCGGCCATTCCGCTTGTTTGCGAGATTCAGCTTAAGAAATTTAGGAGGAAATTAGGAGGCGAGGACGCTTATACACAATATCTCGTGGACTTTGAGAAAAAGAATGAATCGTGTCCTTGACTTCTATGCGACGAATTAAAGGGTAAGTGCTAGTGTATAAGAGTAATGTATCAAATCATTGCGATAACGCTGATTAACAAATTGAAGAAAATAATTGCACGTTTTCACGCCTCTTTGTCTGGAAAGCTTCAGTATATACATACTCGCTTCAATTACAAAATATTTTGGACTCCAGAAAATAATCGATTCTTATCCGTATTAACCAGCAAAAGGCTATTATTCCGTCGAAAACTTCTTACACAAAATCTATCTTATAATAATCTGAAATTCAGAGCGGAGTAGTAGCCTTCAACGAGTCAATATCTCCTGTGCAAATCGAAATTCTAATCGCTGATCAATTTTTGGTCCATTTTACGTATTTAGATACAAGTTGAATTAGCTCGATCATTATTTAGAATATGCGTTTCGCGTGTATGGAAGGGACTTTGTAAGACGCGAGTAAAGTTCGACGGGTAAAGTGTATCCCAAGAAATCTGTTGAGGTCGCGTGAAGTTTCATGGACACAGAAGAGAATGTTCGCCACAATGATTGTAACCCATAACAAAAGCGCGTTTGTGTATCGTCAGCGACTGTGCAAGATTTGCTAAGAGTAATTTCGCATTCAAAATTTTAATCAACTATCGGTGTTTTTTTTATTTCCTCATAATTTTTCAGCAAGACATTGTTTTTGTCGTGTATCTTTCTCTTGACTTATTATTTCTCTAAAAAATTTTTAAGACTCCAAGAAGAAAATTCTTATTTTTTCAGAAAATAAAGAAATATATTTATCTAAAATTTATTAAATTTCTGTGCATTTAATGCTTAAGTAAAGAAGAAGTGTTATTATAAAAGAGAAATTAGAAAATTCAGTTACTTATGAAATCGTGATATCAAATGTAATATTGAATAAAATCTGTCTGTCAATAATTTCAATAAAATTTTGCTTGCAGCAACATTTGAATTCTGATGTTTTCAGGAATTATTTTGCAGATATTAATATTTTTCATTCTACCTCATTTCAGTACGTGTTACAAATAATACAACTGTTATAATTAACTTCAAGTTCTTTCACAGACATACATGCGAATAAATTTGCTAATATTTGACAGTATTTTAGTTGTTTAAAAAAATAACTGCAACTCTGTTAGTGGATTTTACACGTTCGTTGGCGATAGACTGTACGCATATTTATGGAAAGGTGATAGAACCGATAGAAGTACACTGCTTTCTCGCATTAAAATGTCAAAATACAAAATTTCACGCATACATTCGCGCGGAACGCTCGCAAGGTGCTCATTAAGCATATTATTATGACCTTTTTTCAATTTATCTCGAGAGAACGTCTCGCGAGCTTAATTCACCTTACTGAACGTACCTTTCACCTTTATAGTTTCCTCTTGGTCGCGCGAAAAATATCTTAATGGGACGGTTATTAATATTCGTAATCTAGTCGCATTACTTAACAAAGCGGCGATTGATACTTTTTTTATCTGCGTCTTCGTCTGTGTTATAATCGATAATTCGTATTTAAATCCGTTGAAATTTGTTTCGCTTTTATTTTGCAGACCAAACATTTAAATATAAGTTGCCGACAACGTTTAAATTAAAATAAGAAATAACTGAACAATTATTATGAGCATAAAAACTGTGAATTGCAATTTTCATTATATTATTTTTGCACTTGTAACTAACAATTGCCAAAATCTTATTATTTTAATTATTGAAGCCACCATTCTTTAAAATTTTCTTTATTTCTAAAAATTTCTAAACGTATATATGATATTTGTTTAGGTAAATTAAATATCTTCCATTCAAAGGTTTAATCGTGCTAATTATTATTACAGAAGATACTGTAACATAGGGATATCCTAGTAGACTAACAGTATCACCGATAATAGTAGATTCGTGCGGTTATTTCGAGACGAAAATATTTATAACCAAAACGTTCAGATTGCAATAATTTTTAAATGCGAAATGTTTCAAGTTGATAAATTGTCAAAAATTTACGCGCTCAAACACGTTGCATTACTGCAATTGATTTTTATATCTTTATTGTATGAGAAATATCAGAAATCTGCTATTAACGATGATACGATTAATCTGTGAGACACCTTGCATATTTTACATTATTTTTCAATCTGCTGTTTTAATAATATTAAAATAAAACATCAGATTAATTTACCGGCACGAAGCGCAAGAGCGGAGTTATTCACAAGTTGATTTGTAACATTCAAAGTACATCCAAATAATAACAGCAATTAACAAATAATTATTTTAAATACTATTATAATTTGAATATATTTTGTATATTACAAATCTTGTGAACAATTCCGCTGCGCATTGTGCCGGTAAGTCCAATTTGTTTTATTTTAATATCATTAAAAGGATAGATTGAAAAATAATGTAAAATGTGCAGTGCTTCAAATCATGATAATCGTATAGATTAGTTTTTTTGCAAATATTAAACTCTTCATTTGTAACAACATATATCAAACTGAATTAATTCATATTTTGTTGTCAGCAAAGGGCTGAATTTTTTTTTATTCGCAAAATACGAGTCTTGCTTAAAGAATATTACGTCGGAGCTTGTTACCAAAATATTTTATTTTTTATTTGAGCATTTTGCGAAATTTATATATATATATATATTTTTTTTCAAATAAATTTACTGTGCAAATTATACAATTATATTTCGCATATTTTTATATAATGCATAAAGTAAGATGTAAATTAATATTAAAATAATTTTGTGAATTTTATTAAACTTTTTGGGGGTATATGTTTCTCTTATAACCGCGAGTTAACGAAATTGCAATGATTATATATCATAACTCAGATGTATGCAAAAATATTTCGTGCAAAACTTCTGATATCGCGCGAAATATTTGCTACCTTGATTTTACGGCTACTTGTTTAATTATATAATGTTATTATACGGTTTTAACACTACGTATCAATTATAATATATATTCAAAGTATTTCCCGTACATGAATATGTTGTTTCAAATTGTGGTATTTCTTTCAATCCCTTTTGTGCATCGGTTCAGTTACGATGACATATGAGTCTCCCACTTGTTCTATTTTACACACTGTAGATAGATCTTTTCTTGCTTCATTATATATATAAAATATATTGCTATCTTCTTGAATATTCTTTACACTACTCGTTTTGATTTGTCTTTAGGTAAAATATATTTGTGATTTTTCAAAAAGTAAGATCTCTCGTATTGCAAATAATTCTATGTCGATGTACAATACTTTGCTGAAGCTAAAGTCATTAGCTTTGAAATATTAATAATAATACTTTTTCATATAGAAATTTTATTTTGAATTACTGTTTTATTGTTTTTATATTTTGCTTAATTATTGTCTCTCCGGATTTTCAAGATTTTCAAAATAATTTATAATGGAAAAATAATGATAGCAATATGAATATAAGTTCTAATATGTAGCTGTTACTTTGTATGTTGAATTATATATATACACACACAAAATATATTTATATATATATATATATTATTTATAATATAATATTATTTCAATTTTAAACGAGAATGTTTGATAAAAAATTAGAGAAAAGTAGAGCATTCTAATGATTTGAAATGGTATAATAAAGTCATAATTATAATTAAATAATAAATTCAAATAAGTAGAATTCAATTAAATCAAGGAAATTGTAGCTCGATTCCTTAAGATATAGAACAAGGAGGAGAATCGTTTCTATCAATTCGTCCCTAACTACATTATAATCAGCACCCTATCTAGATCCGAATATCTAAAATAATGTGCTTCGATATTTCCTGTGTATGCAATTGTATTTGTATATATATATATATTGTGTTATCACAATTATTATTTAAATAGGTATGTAATTATGATAATACACACATTACACAATTACAATTGCATACATGTTACTGGAATTTCTAATAGTTTCTTTAATTGTGTTTATGAATATTATAATTCCTAAATTGTAGTATACTTTCGGGATATTAACATGTCCAACGACTGCGAACTGTTCGTGTAATTATTGTGCACTTGGTGCGTAAAATAAAAATTAATGTATCGCAAATTTCGAAATTATAACAAAGCACATAGTCGTGCGAAAAAATTTGATAAAATAATTTTTTTTTAATTTAAACAGGTTGTACCGAGTGTCTCAGAATTATCATTACACTCACTTTCGTTTAGAAATGCTTTGCTAAAGAGAAATCAATTTCGATAAAGTAATGTTTTGAAGAATTAATTATTCTTTAATTAATGTTAAGCATACAGATTTCAACAGACAAGTTGCATATTAATTATCAAGATATTTAACGTTCGAATTTATTTAACATTCGAAGATATTTAACGTAAGAATTCTTAAAAAACGGTGAAATTTACGTTAAGCAAAACTTGATTTCAATGTTGTTGCACATACAGAATCGGAAATGAAGTCGCTAAAGTTTTAACATATTTCTCGACGACATGTTGAGACTTAAAAAATATACATATAGTACATTAGCTCATTTTGTCTTTGTGTCATAAGCGTTAGAAAAGAGAAGCACATGTTTCTGACAAGACAATTTAGCAGAAAAATTGCAAATAAAAAATAGTACCTCAAGATTTGGCGATTGTACATCGCAGAATTTGCAAACAATTTTTTTTTACGCGGCGGCGGTGTGTTCGCGTCTGAAATTTCCTTTGATAAAGTTGTGTGTTTGATAAAATTGATATTTACGCAAAAATGCGTTTGTATTATGCATGAGATAAAAAATTTCGAGAGCGTATCTCTGGACGTCGTGTCTACCGGAATGTTTTAATTAGATATCGTATGTGTTTAAACGCAGGTGCATTGTTTTGAAGCTTCTGCGCCTAATTTATATTTAAATTGATTTTAATCCTGTTAGATAATGTTCAAAATTTTTCTAAATATTTTAAATAACAATCGTTAACTTTCGCCAATTGTTCCATATATAATTACGAATGGTATCAAATATTGAGAGCATGATATTTTGATTTCTTGACCTAAGTAACGAAAGAATATATTTTCAAAGAACTATATTTGCTAAATTGACATTTTTGATCTTGTTTTTTTATCTTTACCTCGACATTGCGAATTTACCACGTGTTCGTCGTAAATTCTTTTGATCTTTCTGCAAGATTGAAGATTCGCTACTTTTGTAGTATTTTTCCAATACCGTAATGCTCTTATCTCTCCCTATTTTTCTTGTTTTCTTATTTTCTTTCATAATCTTACGAGTCTGCTCAGTAAATCTCGCACTTTACAACCTTTATTTTTCGAGAACAAGACAACGCTTTTAAGTTCGCATATTGTATACGATTAATTGATATACGTATATATTTAATACTTTAAAAAAATTTGATTGAAGAAAACGATATGCATTTTTTTGCATTTGATTATGTATGCCGCGTGCTCTTTTTGTTATGCAAATTTTTCTATATATAACGAAAATCTTATATTATTTTTGTTATGCACATTTTGAGATACTCTGAGAACATTGTAAAAACAATTGCGAAAATAGTTCTTAGCTGTAAAAAAATTGTTTTTTTTTAAATGTAAAATATATTAATAATGTAGCTTTCTACTTTGAATGTTCGAAAATTTAAGCATTAGGAAATATAAGAGCTTATTCATTCGTTGAAAAAAAATTATATATCCGTCGTTAAACATCAATTTCACGTCTACACCGTTAATATATGTACAGGATGTTCCAAAGAAGGTGTATATCAATAGCAGAAAACTTTTCTCTTATATAATTTGCATTTTTCTCGAATAAGAATTTAACGAATCGTTTAATCACTATTCGATTTTCACATCAAAATTAAAGTTATCAGATTACCCTGAAAGGGGGGGAAATAGATATTTTTTGATTGCTATATTTAATATTTTCGATGAAATATTATCAAGAAAGAGCCAGTGTCGAAAAAACTCAGGATTTAATTCTCTTGTTATCAATACACACGCTTTCTGGCACGAACCCTACGAAGTCGACGGTTTTATATCTCCTCGAGCTTCAAGCTAAACTTCTTCTAGAACTAGTCATTTTATCGGCTTGCCGCGCTTGCCTCCGACTTTTTCAAAATTCCGTGAATCAACAACGGAATAAGCTGCGAACGGATCTGTCGTTCGTGAAAAGGTTTCTCACCGCGAAACTCCCTTGCAAATCGCGGCCGCTAACTTGAATCTTATTTTAATGCACTTATGTTTACTTGACCATATGATTCGCTTAATAACGTCGTGTTATAACGTCACCTCGCAATTATCGGGACCTGCGGGCTTGCGGTCACGACCAGACTCGTGTCCCATCGATCCTCATCGGGATGATCGGCTTAGGAGATGTTGCAGTCGTCGGCGTGAGCGTCCCTGATCTGCTGTTTCGTCTTTCTCGAAGCGCGCCTGATCAGGCTGCGGCTACGCGGTTTGCTCTTCACCTCCTCGGTGACCGTGACGACTGTGGAGCCTTGGGCGGCGACCACTTGCTGTGGATTCCCGCCGGGACCCGCGCTACCGGTCCTGCCGCTCGGACTGCCGGACCTTTCATCGTAAGAAAATAATAATAGATAAAGATTGAAAGCGCATCGAACCATCCGCTTGATTAACGCCACATCCTTTCTCTGAATTTTCCGTGTCCAATTGTAACCTTTGCAATTACACGAGATGAGATATATCTAATGTATAGATAAAAGATGAAATGGGCCTTTTGAAAATGATGATTTATATCGCATTCATGCACGAAGAGAACGCTTTTGCTGGAATATCTAAAAATTGTGTCAGATACAGATCTGAAAGTAATTTTTGGACAATCAAAATTTATCAATAGAGCATTCGATCTGGTTGATGGATGGAAGAAAATAAAGTTATATCGCAGCGTTGAAAGATCGAGCGCTGTGGAAAAAGATTGTCGCAACTAAGGAAGTAAATTTTTGAACGAAATCTTAAAGATTGAATAAAAATGTATGAAAGAGAGAGATAGCAAATATTATTCAATGCTTTCAAAAGCATTGAACGAAATTATTACAATTAGTTATGTGAATGCTGTAAATTAGATTAAACGCAAAAGTGCGAATTTATTCTCACATTATTGACTTTTTATTAAAAAATTGTAACATAAAGTATGAGTCTAGGCAGTGTTCCAGAACATACGATCAAAGAAAAACTTATACGAATGCAAAGACTCAAAATCAACTTGTTTAATTGCAACAAATTTTCAGGAGTGCGATATGTTTTTTTCCCTAAGAAGATTGAAAATATCTATGTATTTCCCGCACGTGCGCGATTCATGCAGTTGCATAACAAAATGATCGACGCAGCACAATGTACAGAGTGTGACGATGAATAAAAAGAATCAAGCAATACCAGTGATGCAAGCTCGAGTATTATCGAACTTCAATAATAATATACGAGAGATACGAGGAACCGAGTATTTCCGATCGTGCAATATAGCGCAATCGTTGGCAATCCGAAACCATTCTGAATCGTAAGCGGTATTGAACATTTTCACAATTATGTTTGCATTTCACGCGAATCCCGACAATGACGATTGGCCGATGCAAACGCGCATTGAAAACTTTTCGAATATCTGTTTCGTTATTGTCGATTCATTGGTATCGATTCACGGAAACACGCGTACAATCAATCACGATTAAATGACGAATTTGCAAATGAGAGATGGTTAAGATCGCTGATTGAAATTCCCGTCACACGTATTTGCAGTTATTTGGAAATACAATACAACGCCGTTTAATATCGTTTATGTATCATTAGCACGTATATTACGCGGTCTGACGAATTCCTTTTCAGACCATTATCGCGTCGAACATTTAATGATGTTTTGAAATCATTAGTCTTATACGAGTTTATCGACACATGTACGTGTATTCGTCATGTACGTGCCTTATTAATAGTATTATTCGATATTAATCGCACGATATTAAACGTAGTAAACTAGTCGTTTTGCTAACAGTAAGTGAATCAATCAACTAAACGTGTTGCGAAAATTATACTGTAAAATTACTTTCCTAATTTTAAATTTACTTAGCGGTGCTGTCATTTTTAAAATCGGGTTCAGATTATTATCCATCTTTTCGTACGTCATACCTTTTTAATAATATTTATAATCAATCAATATAATGTAGTTTTATGTTTACTATATACGGAGAGAAAAGTAGCTGATCATAATTAAAAATAATAATTGATTGGTGTGATCTCTGGCTTATGTAGACACCGATAATCATTATTACAGGATACTTAAAAGACCATCTGAAGATTTCAAGAATGTGTTGACAATGCTGGCGAACAAATGGAACACAAAATACATTTGTCAATGTGATATATTGTTATTATGTTGTTTCTCTAAAAAAAAATACTTTTATATTATTTTTTTTAGAGAAACAACATAATAACAATATATCACATTGACAAATGTGTTCTATTTGTTCGCCAGCATTGTCAACACATTCTTGAAATCTTCAGATGGTCTTCAAAGCCTTGAGACATATTTTTCCATGTACAAATTTTTCATATAAGTGTTAATATTTTTTTCAAGCACCCTGTATTTAATATTTTTATTTTCTTATCTTAATTTCCTTTTTTTTTCTTGCGTTATCACTTTAATTTTAGTGATAAAAAGGAAAAAGAATTAAATAATTTATGTTATATTACTGAGCGACATTGATTGACGCCTAAATCCACATTCTTACCGTACATTTAACCCAAAACGTGCCTTGCGCAATTCTCAGTTCTCATCTACGTTGAATGCAATCTTCATCTTAAGCCTGCTTGCACCAACAATCTGGGTTAAGTAAGCCTGACTTAGTGATTCGCTGTGTCTTTCGAGATTACGGTATTATCTATGATGGGTATGACAAGGAAAATTTACTTAATCATTGCAATTAATGCCAAACGACATTGGTGCAGATGACTTTTAAGCAAGTAAAACTTGAGAGAACTGAAAGTTACGTCCGACGCGTAGTTCACTTGAATAAAATACACGGGATGCATATATAAGATTAATTTCAGAAATGGATTTTGATTATTTTGTTTTTAAGAAAGATAACAAATCGTAGATGATTATTACATTTCTATTAAAAGAACTTGAATTTAAACTTGGAAGAAAATAACTCCAAAGATTTATCTTTGAATCGAATCTCATGTGTTGAAAGTATCACTCTGAAAATACGAATGTTAGTGATTACGTTAGGAGCAAATGTTAGCGTTATACCTGCGCGATCCGTACGCCGAACATCTCCTCCTAAGCCCGCTGGATTCCTCGCCGGCTTCGCCAGTGGGATTTTTCGGCACAATCCGGGAAAGCGTGACGAAACATCTGAAAATATCCTTAATGTTGTAGTCGTCCTTCGCCGAGCACTCCATCACTTTGCCGCGCAGCTTTGGCAGTTCACAAAACAGCCACTCGCTCACGTCCTCGATAGGTACTTCCCTTCGTGCCGGCGCCAGATCAAGCTTGTTCCCGGCGACGACTATCGGTACTTCCTGTTGCAATGAAAAAGCTACGTCCTATACAAAGTTTTATCTACCAGAGAGATGATTTTTTTTCGTCTCGCAAAGTTCAATCGAGAAGATCGAAGAATTATGTAACATGTTTTTGCTAATTTTGGATATCACACTGAAATATGAATTTATCAGAAGAAAGAATTGATCAAAAGCTCGTGCCACTTAAAATTCGGTAAAATTGCGAGTAATTTAGATCGTAAGTAGTTTTTGGATATCTGACACGCTTCGTGAAATTCCATTTCGCGCGCGCGCGCTGCGGAGTAAATCCGTTTAATAATGACACACCTGGAAATCGGGTCGTTGTTCTCTCACTTCCTCGAAGCAACGTTTCACGCAGTCGAAGCTCGGCAGCGATGTCGTTGCGTATACAAGCAAAAACGCGTGGGCGGTGGCTATACTGAGCCGCCTCATCGCGGGGAACTGTAGGTCACCTGGAGGAATAAAAGCGAGAAATACTCGATCAAACAAGTCTCCATTCTTTTTCTCTAACGATTTTCTCTCCGTTGCGTTCATATAACTTTTCAATTCTTTCCTTTTTTCTTTATCAGAACAATGTGTTAGAATTCGATTTACTTTATATCGCGACATTTTTCCGGACGTTGTCGAAAATCGTATTGTTTTTCGTAAAAATTTTTTGATATATATTAGGTAATTCCACTCTCTATACGCGAGGCACTTTTATCCTGCAGCTTTCTCCGATTGCGCTTTCGTCAAAGAGCCACCGGGGAAATGCATTCTCGCGCAATCTCAATTGGATCAAGGATTCCTTCGCGTACACGCGTATTTGTATGTATGTATATATAACTATGTTATGCGCTATGCCGAGTTACGCTTATTCCAGGCACCGGCGAGATTGAAACTTTCTTCGTTTTCAATCAAAACATTGAGTGCTCCATTTCACTTCGAATAGGTACGCGCGCGCGTCGTCTCTTATCTTTTTTTTTTCATCGTATCGCGCGCGAGAGATTCAACAGCGAAGGAAGCGTTTCCGGAAATGGTAGCTTTTCGAAAATATCAGAATAATTCATCTCTCCCGCGGATCTGTTATTTTTTCCCGTAAGAGTTTTCGCAAATGGATCCGGATGCTGTCCGAAATGAAAATAGTAGAGTAGTTGTATAAATTGACATTTATAAACGTGCGATCGTACCCGCGGTATCCAAGAGGTCGACCTTGAACGTCAGGGTGCCGAGAACGCATTCCCGGGAATAGAGATCCTCGACGGTGGGCCGGTATCGCTCGCTGAAACCCTGGCCGAGCAGTCGGCGTATTATGGCGCTCTTGCCGACCCCGGCGCCGCCGAGCACCACCAGCCTGATTCTCTCGAGATCGGCCATGTTCTCCAATCGGTCGCACCGTAATCTTCGAGCACGACCGCGAGAATGTCACCGCTTCAGGATGGCATCACCCGCGGGTCGGTCGGTCGGAGCCTCGTCCACCTTCTGAAAATCCAATACGGTCGCGCGTCTCACGTCCTGTCCGTCCCCGCCCGTCCGTCGCCTTTCCTCCGGAGAAGACTAATTCGATTCCCCGCGGCGGTTCCTGACCCGGGTCCGCGGTCAGGAACTAGTTGGTGGTGGTAGTGGCTTCTCGGGATCGATCAATCGCGATCGATGCCGCGCCGAGACGATCGCGTTTTTCCGCCTGACGACGTCGCCCGCCGTCGGCCTCTCCATTCACTTACCCCGCTTACATTGCGCTCTCGCGAGACCTCGCATCTCTTCCTCCGGGGAAATCGCGCCCGTCCGTCCGTTCGGCGACTCGAGTTAAAATCCCTGTTGAAAGATGAAAAACCGTCCTGCTCTTTACACTTATTTGCGCGCGCCAAACATGGAATTTGATCGACGAGATTAAATTACGGGAAAGGACAAACTCCGGCGTAACGTCGTTTGGGATTGCCAAGCGGATCGGAAATTGTGTGGTAAATAGTATATTGCTATAAATGCCCCGAGCTAATTGGAATATTGCGTTCAGAATAGCAATTTTTATCGAGGCCGCAGCTTTCATCTTTTATGTTAAGAAATCCGATATGTCGGATATAAATATCTAAGCAGAAAGTTTCACTTGTTTTTCTTAGGTCAATAAGCAGATGTAGTGTATTACAGTGACTGGGGTACTTTTTTTAGTGTCAGAATCTAATATCAATAATGACTTTAAGAGTAGAGAAAATTAAGGTGGATCGTACAATAATAGGTCTCTGAGACTAATAACATTTTGTTCCGGACATTAACGTTAATTATTCAATCGCCACTTTCCTATTCTATTGATAGTTAATGCGCATCTATTTTCAGACATCAGAATATCATTTAGGAAAATCTAATACTACGCAAAAACTTTTCATACAGAGAATCTTTGAAATCTTTTGAAAGAAATCATATATAGCGATGATTAAACAATTATTATTCAATATTCCACTTGCATATTTTGTGATTTATCTATTCACCGAAGTCATCTGAATTACACTATTATTATTAGTGATTTAATTGTTAATAAAATTGTGACCGAATCAGTAAAACGTGGGCTTGAATAAAATTATATTTCCCATATTTCTGCACGAGATAAAGCTGTCCATAGAAATTAACGTGGCTCAGAAATACACCGCGAGATTTTGTTCAGGCGAAAATGTGCAAACGGCTGGCCGTGGCGCACTAGGCGTTTTTTTTTTGTACTTTTTTTTACGTACAAACGCACGTGGGAAATGAATACGTGACGCTCTATGAAATGTATCGTGGTAATGAAACGATGCTCGCCGCCGGCATGTGTGCGTTTTGTGTGTGTGTCACGCGTGTATTAAACTTCAATTCCAAGAATATTTCTCTGTGACCATTGATCAACTCTTGTCGTTTAGCAAACAATAACTTCAACGCTGCGTTATTGCGTATATGCTGTTTATTATTTTATATGCTCTAATTTTTTTTAATATCGAAGAACGTGACTATTAATAATTATGCAATTATTGATGATAATTAATTGCAGCTACGTTTTAATACACTTGCGAAGAGAGATGTCGCATTAACAATTATCAACAAAATCTCTCATTAATTCGGAAAATATTTTATTCTGTAGAGTGTTATTTACAATGTATAATATTTTAGAACGGCGATATAAGTTTCAATTTATGATAACATGCAAATTTCTCTTTGATAAAAATTTATATATATTGATTGTATTTGCATACTCACTGATATCTCTTTAGTACTCATCGTTACTGATGAGATATTTGCGCGTTTAATAAAAAAACATGCGCGCGAAAATCCATATGCACGAAAATCTACTTTCAATGAAAATTTGTGTATGGATTTGCGTTAATCATATTTAAACACAATTGAAAAAAAAATTAATTCAATGAAACCGCTGAAGTATATGATTTTATATTTGAACGCATTGGCAAATAATGTTAATAACTTGAACGACCAAATATTCCTCATCAACGCTTTTCGTCTCAACTTTTAATAGGAAAAAAATTTATATGCAATTAATTGTGTTTAAAAATATAATTTTTTACAATTACATCACTAATTCGACGATATTGTCACAGCTGACATGGTCGTCGAGTAGATTCTTCCGATTCATTCGATTTGCACGAACATAAATTTTCTCTTGATGAGAATTTATGTGAAGACGAGCTAATTGTGTTTAATCCGGTATCGCGCGCGTCGGACGTAGGATCAGACGGGAGGCGCGTAATGAAATTTCGCGGTATTTACAATCGCGCGATGAAAAAGCTCGTTGACGTTGTCGCTTCGCGGCCGTAATTCACTCCGCGTCTCGCGCGTCCCAGAGGCGTCGTAAAGGAAAAAGAAAGAATCGTGTACCTAGCTTTTGTGCGACTTATCCCAGCAACTGGTCTTTCCTCTTTCTCCGTGTTTCCTATTCACCGGCAGGAGTTTCCGAGTCCTTCCAGTGAGAAGAGAGAGAGAGAGAGAGAGAGTCACAGGTGGCTGCCGGTGACCTCTTTTTCTCCTCGACCGCGCCCGCGGGAGTCTCCGCGGGATTAAGACGTCGCTAAACACACCGTTGCCGACGACAGCTGGCTCTGTTTTATGAAATAAGACCTTAATTGTCATTAAGCTTCGGGGATGAGGAGTCAGCCGCGCGCAATTGCGGCCCGCGGAAGCTCTTTACGCGAGAGAACTCATCAAGAACGCGCGGAATGACGCGGACTCCCGGTTTTTCGCGTTTCGTTTAACAAATTTGCCCCGCACAATTCGTATACGGTTTTGCACGTCGCGAAATACATTCAACGCGATCCTTCCTCGCGGCTCGCTCCTTTTGTTGACACGCTCCGGGTCGTTACGCTTTGTTGACGCCGCGGTTTCGCTTTTAACGCTTTTAGCAAGTCGAGATTATCTTTGTATCACCGGAAACGAAGCGAGGATCACGAGTGATGTACGAGTTTTGCAAAGTATCCGACTTATTATGTCGTTAATTACACATGGCTGATTGATGATCGAGAGCTGGAAAAAACTTTATAAAATAAGAAAGTGCAGAGAATTGATGGGATATAATTAAAGTGGAGAAAAATTATAAAATAGAAAATAATTATATGATGTAAAGAAAGAGTAGAAAAAGTTGCGCGAATAAAAACGTCGCATCGGGAGCGCGAATATACAATACCATTGTATCGCCTTGGAATATCCTTCCTGCAATCAGCAACTTTTGCGCCTCCTTTTCATTTATGTCGACGCTCATCGGTCCGGTAACAGCTGATCCTGTAAAAATAAAGGCCGAATTAGCAAGATTCTGAAATTTACGATGTGATGATTCTATCGCGCCGTCTGTTTTATGTGTGCGCCATCAATTTTCAGCGGAATCACGCTTCGTTCGGTTCTTTTTCCTCAAACTATTAAAATCGGGTAAACCGAGCGAGACGGATTAATTGCGCAATCCGCCTATCTTAGCAGCTGAGAGAAAGGAGAATCTGCAGCATCGCCTAGCTATTAGGATAATTATTCACGTCATTAGTGTTTCTCGGGATTCTTCCGCACTCGTATATGCATTATCCGTTATTAAATTCCATTTGCTTCGAAGCGTATTCGGCGCAACATCACAGCAATTTCGAAATATTTTTAATTCATACTTCGTAAATGTAATTTATTGCAGAAACGTTGCGAACTATCGCGTTTCCATCAGGTCGCGTAACGTCGTATATAAAGCTGCGGCGTATAAAAAATTTTATTTGTCGGAATCAGGTTTGCATAGTTCGCAATAAGATGAAATTTATAATAGAATTCATTTCGTTCAATTTATTATTATCTAGTTGCAGTAGTGGGTTAAATTTTTCGAAATTTTTTCTTGCTGTATTATTTCCTACAATAAGAAAGTTGTATTATTGTCGGATGACTAGTGTGGGAGTAGTAACAGGACAGCAGTAACATTCTTTTTGTACGATTCTCCAGAGATAGAAATGGAAGATAGCTCGAGACGAGAGACTTTCTCGACCTCCCGTGACGCGGATTTGTTCGAGTAATGTATTGGACAAAGGTGAAATAGGAGTAAATCCTTGTAGGACACGTTTTCGCAGGTTTTTGCAACTTTTTAAAAAGTTTTAAATCCGAAACGGAAACTTCGAATATTTTGTATAGATTGCTGGAAATTATTTGTCCCTAAAGAAATTTTTGTACTGTCGAAACTATGCGTAAAAGTTTTATTATTAGACCCTTTTCGAGCTTCAGCTAGTACAGAAAAGAAAACTTTTAATTATATGTATTACGCGTGTGAAGCACACCACAGAGAGCAAAAAAAAAGAGCGAGGATTTACTTAAAGTGCACGCCGAGTTCCGTATAATTAATTTTCATATTAACTTTTAACAGTACCAATTCTGCAAATCAAATTTTCCTATCAACAAAAATCGTAACAAATTTCTTTACTAAGATCAGTATAATATTTATAAAATTTGGAGGTTAATTTTCTGAAAACAGTTATGACTTTGAGAATAAATATGAGAAAAGTTATTTGGGATTTATTTTGCGGCTTATAAAATAATCCGTGAGTGTGCACGAGTCTAATGTATTATTAATGACGCTCGTATCAAGTTTGAGCACGTTAGTCTTCGAAAATCCGGATGGAAATCTCGTGGGACATGGCGTATAAGATAGTTGTCACAGGATTTATGGATTTTGATTTAATAGTTATTACACAGCTTTGGAATATAAGGGTGAATATACTGACTGACATCTCCGATTACCATGGCAACATACCTAACGTCAAAAGGAGATGCAAATCCCCCCCCCTCCCCCCGTAATGTATATCCTTCTGCTTTCGCTCCGCTTCGCCGAAGCTCTGTTGAAATTGTCCCTAATAGACGCGATATAGATTATGTTTGTTCTGATATAAAAGCTGTTTCAAATACAGCAGCGCGCACAAAATATTAATTGGCGAAAAATAAATATATTCTTGATGCTTATGAATTTTGTAATTAACTTTTTTTCCGAGAAAAAATATCGAAGAAGAGTATAATTTGTTGTTACTTCTCATATTTCAAATCGTTTGACATCGTTTTAGTAACAAAGTTTTAAATTAAAAATTCGGTTTAAATCAACTTGAAATTAAACAATATACAACATTTCATTTATCCGCGTAAATTAAATTCGCGGAGAGCCTGTTATTTTCAATCTCAAGTTGAAAACTATTTGCGCTTTGACATTTTTCGTTAATGAGAACTGAGTCTAAATTTCACAAAGAATAACGCTGCGCATGTCTTCCGCCAATTCTGGAACAAGCAATAAAATCTTTATGTCATTGTTTCTTATAAATTAATAATGAAGTCTTGAGATAACAAACTCTCTAATTATTCGGAGATAATTATTCATAAAGTTTCTCGAAGAATCCTTCTTCGTTCTACGCAATTCTTCACTGCGTACTTTCAATTTAATGCGCTTCAGAATGTTCTATCTGGTTATATATGAAAGTAAGACTCCCGCAATTTCCTTAGGCGGGCAAATTCATCTTGCATGCTTGTCCCTTTCAATCTGCGTTATCGCATCACGGTTACGACTGCGCATTTATTTGCGAGCGCGCGGCATAATAAATTTCACTAATGGTTCTAAAGCATCCTGCGCGCGTGTTGAAAACGCGCGTCGTTATTGAACCCTCGCCTTTTAGGCCGGAGAGTTCCGCTATCATCAGCACAACGATTTACATAATAATGCCCGAAAATTGCCGCGCAGCTTTCCCGGATATGGCCGACGAAATTGAAATCGTTAATTCGCTGTTCGCACCCAAAACAGATGTCGGGACGAGTCGTCGCTTAATCGCATCACGTTTCTCGACCCCGCTGATATCTCCTTTCCTCCTCTGCCGTAACAAATGATATCCCTCCCAGCGGTGCTGAAATCTAATATGTCGCATTATACGAAAATGTGAAATAAATTTCACTGAGAAAATTTCCCTGGAGCAGTATAGCAAGAGTAAACAAAGCGGCGGAGTGCTTATGAGCTTCTCTGTTCTGTGGTCTAGCCAAAAAATTCTGTCGACACCATAGCTTCGGATCCTTGGGGAGGGGGGGGGGGAATAAATCTGACCGTGTTGTGTTTCGCGAGGAATTATTACTTTTGTTATGAAATGTTCGAGTATCTGTAAAAATAATAACGAATGAACGCAGATAATTGTGCGATTCGATCCTGCGCGAATAATTTCTGATCAGATTTTAAGTATTTTATTTGACTGTTATTTTAAAAGAGAATGTATAAAACAATATTGATGTTTTCAAAGTCATTTTATTTCCGAACGCTTGATTAAAACGCTTGATTAATCAGCAAGAATAAAAAAAATATTACTGGGAGCATATATAATATTTATATTGAATGTGCTTTATTAAAGTTGTCTCTCTAATTTATTTGCAACAGAGCTTCAGTTGAGATTTTACCTCGGATATGTGTATTTAGTTTCGCTGTTTTAACACACGTTTCATTTCCGTTTGGCGTTGTTTCACCGTAATATTCCAATTTTACAGGATCGACATTTACGACCAACCCGTTGTTTGATATTTTGATGGATTTCATTCGTTGAAACAAATCTCACTTTGAAATGATAAATGACGAAGCGAATGTGCCACTCTGAAATGAAATTAATTTTAATTAACCTTAACAACAGTTCTCCCTCGGAGAAATCAAATCGCAGCTGCGTCGCTGCGAAACGGTCATTCGATCCACTTCGCGATGAGATCGATTATCGGACACGTTTATTTCGATCTGATGAAATGCACCGTAGTGGCAATAAAACACTGTCAGCGCGTCAGTTTTACAAGTGCTCGGCGCGTCCTTTACGATCGCGAGTACCGATGTGGAATTACTGCAGCTATCAAATGTATCGTGCTCGATCGATTGACGGGGTGGGAACTTAATAAAGCTCATTCCACTTTTTGGTTCTTCCGTTGCCGGCTCTGCGCGAGGCTAACAAGAGATTGATGCGAGAGGAAAATAACAATGGGAACTCATTCGCGCGCGCGCGCCTTGATATTAAAGATAATAAAAACAACGAGATCCACGTGCGACGTCAACGTGCTCTTATTTCTTTCTGGCGTGGCATTCTTGTTTGTATCAAGGCCTGGTTATTTTTTTTTCTCCTTTCCGAAGAGAGGTATTTATTTCAGAAAATCCATGCGCGAGTCAGATTTTGCGAGACTTTCATTAGAATGTCGTTTGCGAGTATACATTTTTAAAGAATGCTTTCCAATTTGCTGCAGCACGATTGTTAAAGGATTGAATTGCAGAGTCACAAAGTATTCGTTTTCTCTCCATTGTTGACAAACGCTTGATATTTTTCTTTTTTTTTTAAACAGAGAAATGTTACAGGATATCGATGAGAATACAGATTGTATCGAATAGCCTTTGATGGATATAAATTTTACTGAAAAATAACAATTTGCTTTAATTTTTTTTTTTTCGCTATCGCACACAAAGATATGCACTTTAATAAAGCGTTATATTTTAAACCAGCGAATTGTTATCCAATCTGCCCTTTTCAAGCTGTAATTTCAAATGGCATAGTATTCTGTCTGCCGAGCGAACACATGCCGCCCGGAGTTCTCATCTCACTATATTATAATGCAAGTATCCGTGCAATTTTCTTCCGCGGATTGAATTTCTCTAAATCTTTTGAGAGAGTTTCCTTTCGGAGGCACACAGAAGAGAGTTTCCCCGCGGCATATCTATGGTGCGCGGTACATTATCCTCTTAAAAACTTCATCCGTGCATACGGCTGCGGCGCTCTTAAAATGTAGAACTTTATAAAAAGCCCAAAGGAGAGAGAGAATGTCGTGTAATTACGATGGCAGACGGAAGAAGATGGGAACGAGGAATACTTAAATCGGTGGTGTTATAAATGGTCGCAACTTTTCTAATATTCTCTCTTTTGTATTTATTCAAGACAAACTTTGTAGCTCTAGTAGTACGTCCTACCTTTCCTGGGTAGGTTACGTTCGAGTAACTGTGAGATGTTGAGAGATAAATAGATAGAGAGAGAGAGAGAGAGAAAGAGAGAAAGAGAAATGTGTAACTTGAAATGATTGAAAGTTATATCTACCTTATCTCTAATCTCGATCTTGCTCTAATTACACACAGAGATTGAAATTTAAATAATGTTCCACGCGCGTTTGCCTTTTCCATTTTAATCCACTAATGCAAGGTGGAATATGTTGATATTGCGCAATTTTCCTAAAACAAATAATTATATGTTAATAAACTGCGAGGTTTATGAATATTTTAAGAT